GAGCGATGATCAAAATGCATGATGCGTTCACTGCACCTAGGACAACTCTCATCGATTACAGACCTGCACGACTTGTATCGTTTTCCTCGTAAAATATATAACCCTGCTACGTGTTCTGATTTATTAGTAGTAGTAGTAGCTTAGTTAGTGCACAAATTGATCTTTAAAGATGCTTATTTAATTAAAGTGGGACCTTGTATGACCAGGGGTTCTTTTACTTTGTAACTGCTCTAGGCTGCTGAGAAAAACACAAACTAGTAAGAAAAAAAAACTTGTGATTTTGAATAGTTTAGTATAGTTTGCTGTAATAATCACGTGGGTGCAGACAAATGTATACGTGTTGTACATTCTCACCCAACAAATCTGTGATTAAGCCGATATAAATATTCAATAAATGTGCAACCATGTGAATACTTACATGCACATTTACAGATAATTTGGGCCAAATCAATTTAGCTGAACATATGGTCCTATGTATTAGATGCAGGTCAACACCATTTATTGTCAAGGACAGCTAGGACCTCCGTGGACCACAGCTAAGATGAACTTGAGGTCCTCAAAAGTGAAGGATACCTCAAACTTTCTCTACCTTCCAGCTTTCCTTTGACATTCCCCCACCTCACTCTTTTCTCCCCCCACACCCCAGAGGTCACCCACATGCAGCCCATTACATCTGTTTGGGTGAAAACTGTAATAATGTTAAAGACATTCCCCCTTTTTTTTTCAAAAACATGATAATTTGTGATATTAGTCCATGCAACCCTTTTGTTATCGTCTCTCTGGTCACTACACAATAGCTCTGTGTGTAGATGACATTCCAGTCTGATCCCCATGAATGTTTGGATGGATATCTCCCATGCAAACAGCCATTTAAGGAGCCATGCTGCAGATACACAGAAGGTTGCTTGGATGCTGTTTGCAGTGACCTTTCATGACCCCTATACATCAAACCTGGTGACACCACCGGTGACAGACGAGGCCACGAGTGAACTGAGGAGGAGAAGTTCATGGGGGTAAAGTCAGGCGCACATGGGAGTATGTTTCATTCATTTCTCCTCACTGCCAGTGGTTTGTTGGATGAATCTCAACGTGAAAGGGGCACTAGTTAGGGCTCTGTTTTAGACTAAACAGCTTTGCAGAAAATGATTGACCAAGTGGTTTTAAAGGAAAATAGACTTTCTGAGTTTGGAGTTTACTTAGACAGTCCCAAATGCATTTTCCTGCATTTAAAAAAATCAATCTTACTTCAATTTGTAAAAAAGTGCTGTTTTTTTTTTAATCTATTTGAAAACGATATTCATTTACATATTCATTCACATTTTTGTCTTTACCTACAGGGCAACTGAGCAAGGAGTCGAATCAAAGACAGACGGGCTGGTGGTGAGAGAGGTAGGTGATATCTTTTTTTTATCTTTCTTTTCTGATTGCCAACAAAGGCCCAGAACGACCATATAACTGAGTTTTTCCCCCCAGTTATCACAATATTTCTGCTCATGTCGATGCGCAAAACAGTTTGATTTGCGAGCCTATAACGCGCTTGAAGTATCTGTCAAATCTTCCCATGAATCCAGGGGCTCAATAAATGAAATGGTAATGTGAAAACCCTCTCGTGAGCACCGCTGTGTTTCTGGGACACACACACCAACACACCCACACGCTAAATGTGCTTTCCAGAGGGACCACTACGCGGCTCATTTGTACCCCTGTAATTTTTTTCTGCTGCAGGCAGAGTATGATGTGATGTATGACAGAAAGCAGCTGAATCGACGGAAACAACGTGCAATAAACACTTTCATAATCAATCATCTCACCAAAATACAATTTCTAAATATGAATATGAAAACAGTGTGTGTTATGTTGCAGGTCAATACTTTACCATCCAAATACGGGCCAAGAAAAAAACGCACATTTGATGACTGTTCATTTATTTATTTTTTAGTCTGGTTAAAAATTTGTACCACACTCACCACAAATAAAAATAATTCCACAGCACAGTAACTGACTTTTTTTGTCCTTATAAACACTTGGTCAGTCGCAGGTTTGGCCTGCTTGTCTCCCAGATGTCTCCTGTTGTTGCAGAACAGACGGGAACCGTACCCCTCATCCAGACACCGTCCTCTTTCTGCGTTTGTCCAAAAACAAGCTGCTAAAAAAGGTTTCTTTCGGCGTCTGTGCTGCTCTGAACAAATGGAACACATGCACCAAAGGTTTCCTGCAATATAAAATGTATCCAAGTCTCGGTTTACAGTGTTTAGGTTGTGGTAAATCAGAGATCATTTTATTTTTCAGAAGTGTCTTTGTGTCATTGTTGTTTCGATTTCAATGCTTTTTATATAAAACAGAATTTAGCTTCACATTTTAATGAAAATAAAAATAAAAATCACATCTTTAAAGTAGAAAATAATTTGCACAAATAGCCATACATGCTAAACAACAAGCTACTCACAAACGAAATTCAGGTTAATTTACAGTGGCAAAATAATTTTTATGCTCACACCAAGAGAGAACAACTTGTTTATTTTTTTAAATTCTATTATAGCTTGTTAGATTTGTCTTACATGCGAAGTGCAGCCTTACAAATAATAAATCAGGTAAACGTTTATATGCAGACAAATCAAATGCTGAAGCTGGATGATTTCAGAGAAACGGCTTCAGGGTATCTGACCGAGAGAAAGATAGGAGACTGAATAGGATTTCTGCTGAATGCCAACACCCACTCACCTCAGCAAGCAATTGTTCCTATGTAAAAGCTGCTCCGTTCGTTTCTACACCACTAACCAAGTCCATTCCTCTCCTCTGCCTCTCCTGTCCCTGGATAGTCCTTTCTACAAAACGAAAAAAGCGACAAAGTGTCGTTTTTTGATGGATTTCTGATTTATTACGGAACGACTGAGGAAACCCCTTTGTGCGTAATGGCCGTGCGTCTCATCTGTGCTTCTAAAGAAATCCCTACATCTCTAAATTGAAAACTTCACCCACAGCACATACCCAGAGAGTGGTTGTCGTCTTCTTGGCCATAAATGATCTAAGGGAGTGTTAGATGGTTTAAACGTGTTCTTAGGGCAGGGAGCTGTCAGACCTTTTGGCGAGAAAGATTGATGCTACCGGGGCTCTTTGTTTAGAGCCTGAGCAATAAACAGCCATCAGATCCCCACCTTTCCTCTGCCTCACACCACAGTGGCAAATCATGTCTACTCACCGCAATGTTATAACTGAAGTATATGGATGCTGGCTTAGGTCAACATTATCCCTACCGGTGAAATAAAATAAATTAAATGGGATGTGGGGCAGGGAGCTATAAACTCTAAAAGGGTGACAAATACCTTTTAAATAACCCAAGTGCTTTCTCACGGACACAAAATATTGTGTTTTCAGTAGAGTTCCTATTAAAACAGGCTTATACCTTTATGATAAATTTGTCTATAATAACGTAATATAATGGATGGTCTAGATAATTGGCCATTAAATTGTGCTAAAAATCAAATGATGAACGTAAAAATCACATTGATATTTATGAAAAAGTAATCTCTCTCTCTCTCTGTGCTCTGTGCTGTGCGTTGGGGGAAGGGTGCACATGTCGAGTGTGTTGTTGGATGTGTCTGCTGCAGCTTTTCTCTCCAAGCAAATCTTCAAGTCTCCAGATTAACGACTGTGGGCGTTGTTGCATTACGAGACTCAAATGTGACTGCTGAAATGATTTGCGACGCGCCGTGCTATTGACAAAGAAGACGTGTGCGCGCGTAGCCGCACGCTACTCTGCGTGGAAGCGCAAAAGTAGGCACGGCTGCTGGGTGCATTTTCGGGGTAGGGGGCGGCGGTGAACAAACTGACCCCCAAAATGTGTAAATAAAGCAACAGTTACCCCCAGAATGAGGCGTTACTCCTCCGACTTTCTCGATCAATCACAAGGGACAGTGGCGTCTTTTGATAAAAACCCCAAATTGTCATTGGGCAGATGCAATCATGTGACAAGCAGCACGGTCTAATTCCAGCCATGTCCTCATGAACGCAATAGTTTATGGCACAGAGGTCTCCAAACGGCTGTATCCAGTTTAGTAGTTTATGAAAATAAACTGCTTGTTAATTGTTATTATTTCTGCCCCTCCGAGTTATCTTAAAAAACAGCGAGTTTTCGAGACAAGAAGGTGGAGATGAATTACGAATTTGGGCGAGAAAGTGGTTTTATCAACAGTCAGCCGACGCTCGCTGAGTGCCTGACATCTCTCACTAACCCTGCTGATGCATTTCAAAGTTCATCAATCAAGAGTTCGGCGCTTTCACAGTCGACACTGATTCCTCCTCCTTTTGAGCAGACCATCCCCGGCCTCAATCCGGGCATCCACCCACGCCACAGCCGCTCAAAGCAGGCTCTGAAAGGCTGCAGCCCGCTGCAGGCGGCATCCCTGCGACCGGAGTACCCGTGGATGAAGGAGAAGAAAAGCATCAAGAGGAGCCAGACTCCTGCCTCTGCAGCTTCCTCGACAACGACTGACTCCTCACCACTCTACTTCTCCCCCCAAGGCAAGACATGATGATTAATAACCTCCATGTTAAAGGCTCCTCATTGTCTGAGGATTCCCCCTCTGCAAGGAGCTGCATCCCGGGCCTCGTGCAACGCTGGCGTCTCTTTGCGCCAATATAGGATTGTGATTTAAGATTGCTTAATCTCATCAAATAACGCACTGACTTGTGATGCAGTGTTAGAGCGTTAATGTTTGACAGTAATGGAGAGTGATAGATTATTCTACACGGGCTAGCAGCTGGCATGTTCATTAATCTTCACCCTCCGTCCTGTCCTGTCCACGCAGACCCATCATATTCTGCCTGGGGCCCATAAATCTTCCAAGACCCTGTGCTTGCTTGCTAAAAGTTTCACTCCACGTTGCTCCTTTTCCTACACACATAACCGTGTTGCTCTTTTATTTTGCGTCTAAATAAAATATTTGTTTTTTTTTTATTTTAGGTTCACCAGAGATACCAGAGGGTGGTGTTGGCGGTGGAGGGGCATCTAGGAGGCTGAGGACTGCGTACACCAACACCCAACTTCTGGAGCTGGAGAAGGAGTTTCATTTTAACAAATACCTGTGCAGACCGAGGCGAGTGGAAATAGCCGCTTTGCTGGATTTAACAGAGAAGCAGGTGAAAGTGTGGTTTCAGAACAGGAGGATGAAGCACAAGAGGCAGGCCCACTGCAAGGAGAACCGGGACAGTGAGGGGAAATACGCGTGTGTGGACGACGGGCCGGAGGACGAGTTCGAGCAGGCGGCTGACGACAGCGCGGGCGCAACACTCCTGGAGAGGGAGAGGTATTTCCACCAGAACGCCTTGACTTCACAGCAGTGTCAGAATGGGCACAATGGGGAGAACCAAAGCCCGACTGCTGCGCCTTCGAACAGCAATGAGAAAAATCTGAAACATTTTCCAAACCCGGCACCCACTGTTCCTATGTGCGTGTCAACAATAGGGCCGGACAATGACCATTCCCCGAGCCTGGACGTCTCCTTGCAGGATTTTCAAGTTTTCTCATCCTCCTCCTCTTTCTCACCAACTTTGTCAGATTCAGCACAAAGTCCTCTGCCTTTATCATCCGAAACGTTTGACCTGTTTTCAGAAACACTCACAACAATCGACCTGCAAAACTTGAGTTATTGAAACATTTCTTTTATTGTTTAATTCAAACACTTGTGCCAGTTTAGCCTAAACAGTGTGAGGGTGAAATCTTTAGCACATCTAACAAATAAGGTAAGTTAAAGCAAAAACAAGAAAGCTTCTATTTTGCCGAGATGGACTGTTTATTCCATTGGACTACCAGAGGACTTACGCATTTATTTTTATATGAATTTCAACTATAATTAACAGAATATTTTTCTTGAAATAAAACTTTACATTGATTGGAATCACGTGCGCTTTTGTCTTATTTTCCGATCAAAGCTTGAAGAGATGATTGATTTTTGGGTCCATAACAGTTTTAGGAGAGAATTGTGAGTTATGAATCGAGCCAGACTGTTTCTTCCAAGTCTTGAGTTTCTCTCAGTTGAGAATAAACTCTTTACTTTTAAAGGACATCACGGGACATTTTCTAAATTATCATTCACCCAATAAAAAGACACAATTGATTTAAAATCCTCAGCCATCAGTCAAAGGGATGCAGTGAACCCGGCAGTGTACAACACAAATACATGGCACCAGATATGAATGGTAACGTGTGAAAGTTTTTTTTAATACTTTGAGAGATTTATTTCAACGTGATTATGGTTCTTGTAGTCCCCAGAGTTTCATCAGGGAGATTCATTGCCTTTGCATTTTAAAGCCCAGAAAAAGAAAATTTGCAGTGAGAATTCCTTGCTAGGAGTCCCAGGCCAAAAGCTATGACTTTTCTTGGCTCTCTAATTAAATTTTATTGCCTATAAAACTCACAGCACTGAGAGTGCTTGTTTATAGCCCGATCCGCAGTGTAATACAATATATGTGACTTACGAATCGCCGTTGTAGTCTTCAGAACTTTCTTTTATGATTTAAAATGATTTTAGATGAATTCAAAATAGCCGACACAAGGCTTTCCCCACAAATTGGTACGAAGTCGACTCCCACTTTTGTGCGGTAGCAAAAACCTCGACCATGGACCAGATATAGGCTATAGCACGACATATTTATTCCATTCATTTATAGTAAATTTTAATGGACCAAACGGATTTGGTCCCTGTCCCCAGTCCCATTTACTGCTAAGGAATTCTTCACACCGACCAGTTGAGGCTCGTCTCCATAAATCGTACATGACGAAGCGTTTATGTAACAGCCGGTGTTGCTGTTTTTTATGATGTTATTTCATGTTTTGGGAAAATGTTTGATGAAAAGATAAAACCGTATAATGTTCCAGGAATGACAAGAATACCAATCACGCTGATGAATTATTCCTCCCAGGGTCTGCAGGAGATATAAGATTCATGTATAGGCCCTGTGTTTCATCGAGCTGCTCTCAGGACTCTGCGGTTGGGCTCAGAGCCTCACAGCAATAATAAAAAGGTGAAGCGAGGTGGCGGATTGCCATTCCTACTGAGATATGGGTTTAAGTGACGGCTAATTGTGCACAATTTGAAAACAAGGGCCGAGGACGTTAATTCTAACAGGAGGCACAGAGGTGGTGTTTGGTTTGGTGCTGAAACCACTGAGTTAACTTCACACAGGGTCCAGTGTTTACAGGCTACACTAACCACAAACACAGCCACACTTACGTTGATTATTTCAAATAGCCTGTGACTTCTCATGCTTATACTGCCCAGTCATTTGTTCACAGTCTCTGATAGCGCAAACTAAACAGCTACACTCAAACTTTTCAAATAACCTCTCATCTGCATTAGGAATGAAATCACTTTCTGTAGCCTATGATCTTTGGTTCTACTTTGAGCAACGCAGCTTAGACAACATGCAGTTAAGTGCATCACAGTCCTATAATCAGTGTGATAAATTGGGAAGAAACCACTGAGACGACTGGCAAGTAGATAAAGTTTTATGGGAAACCAGATCCTTTCCTCCATACACACACATACACACACCCACACACACGGGTCAAAGGTCAAGCTGGCTCTCCTCTCCTCTCCAAACTGGGAGGAACTACTGCCAGGTCAGGAGGGGGTCAGGTTTTGAATGACCACAGAGGATTTGTGGCTCATAAAGAATTTATTGGCTGCTGGGATAACTCTGAACGGGAAGTGACGTCACAAAACATCAACTATATGTCAAAACAACCATAAACAGTGAAATATGATCTCAGGCTTAATCACAGCCTACAGAGAAATGAGGAATAAGATTGTATATATATATGACAATCTATAGATTTATGACCTATCTGTAAAGTCTGCTGTGCCTCTTTTCTCAGTGGGACTTTGAATGCAAATCCGTGTGTCTGGCTGACAAACACTGGCCACCACCTGCAGCTCCAGGAGAAGCTCTTCACACAGCCCCTCCGGAGCTGCGCTGACATTTCTGTTTCAGGGCTCCACCACAGAGGGCTATACAGTTCAAAGACTTAGCCATTTAACCTGGATTGGGTGATATTGCCTGTCAAAAGATGACTAATGAATGACTGACACTTTTGTAAACAATATGTCAACGCGCTGCTTAGTCTGAAAGCACCAGGAGGCACAGGTTTGTAAGAAGTAAGGCTTCTTTACCCTTGGTAGCAGTGGAGCAGTGGTTGTATGAGATTGCTGCTGATCGTACAGTAAAAACCAGTTAAATGAGATGCAAGTGATGATGCAAATATTTAAAATATAATTTAGGAAAGATATATTTCATCACACGTCACATAGACCCAGAAACATCTATGTTGCTCAAAAACCTACCACAGAAACCTCCAGATCAGTTTTATAGAATTACCTTAACGATTCTTATTTAGACTCACAATACTGATGAATCCATAAAGTGTTTGCATCGTTGTAAAATAGGGAGTCAGTCACAGGGAGCGAACAAGTGCCAGAGCCATATTTATCTGATGATCGTGACCAATGGTCACTATATTTTATTTGTGCGTAAACACCCGTTGCGCCATTAAAGCATCAGCCCCTTGTCAAACAATATGCAGAAAAGCTGACAGACCAAAGGTCATGGTGGATGTGGAACAGCAGGTGGTGTCGTGCTGGTCCTGCAGCGGAGCGGTGTGGTCATTGAGAAGTAATTAGTAGATTAACTTCCGTATGTTTGAGCCCACTTGTGCTTCCGTATCGTGAAGTTTCCACGGCCGGACAGTCAGTGCACCGCTACCAGCAACAAACTAATTACAATGCGTGCGATTCCCGAGGAGCTAACGAGTCTTATTTCAGGTAAAACAGCAGAACTCGTTGTGTATTTGTAAGTGTTGTTTCTGTTCTTCGTGTCTTTTTAAGGTTTGTTTCGATAAGTCCGGCTTTTAAGAGACCATTGTGTAGAAGAGGAAGCGGAGGCTCAATATGGATGGCTGTTTTTGTCAGATACACTCCAGTGCACGTCTGTCTAACCAGTGTGCTACTGGTTTTAAAACGCCGCTCACTCGAGCTGTCGACGATCACACACGGTGCAGGTTCACCAAGAAGCGCAAACCGCTGTGTGGAGTCGTGTCCAGCTGGAGTAATGTTCCATTATACTTCCAAATAACACATTAATATCAGAACGTATGAACGATTTACCTGCATTTCTTATGTTTAGACCTAGAAAATTTCCTCAATGATGGGTTAAAGGGGGAAAATTTGAGCAAGAAGGCAAAAGAGAAGAGGGATGCCTTCATTAAACGCATCAAAGAGGTCAAACTGGGGTATGTCTGTTTGGGTTATTGTTACAAAAACGTCACTTCATTTTCTGAGTCTTGTTGGTGATGCAGGATTTGAAAGGTGGTAACACCCTTTTATTGTTTTCCAACAGTTTCCCACAGGAGTTCAAGGACAAAGGTGAGTGTTGGTCTTACATTTTAATAATCCTGAGGTCTATGTTTACATCTATGACACTAGTGGTTCCCAACCTGGGATTTGGCATGAATTTAATGTGTCACAAGTGCTGAAAATAAGCAGAAACTAAGTTGTTTATTTTTTAGATTATAATCTTTGCTCTTATTTTTAAAGTAATAGTTTAAATTCACCAAGCTGAAAAGGGAAAATCCTCTTTCAAGTGCCCAGACCAGATGTCCAAAGCTGATCAGGAACCCCTGTGTTACCCCATAACATGTACTACATCCTCTGTTTCCTTTAGTCAGTGGAGATGACTCAGATGATGCCGAGGAAGTTGACAGCAACAACGATGGAGGGTCACTTCAGTCAGAGCGGGCAGACAAGGATGAAGAAGCCTACGAAGGTGAGACACAAGCACTTAACAGCCCTCCACAGTCGACTTGCTAACAAGCTGGGGATTAAAGTTTTGAAAATGGCGTCTTGGCAGATGAAAATACACAAAGCTCTGCCTGCTCCCTGGAGAAAGTGACTTTGAGTGGCACAATGAGGGAGACATTCCAACTGTAACTTGGCAACACACTTGGGGAGCAATCTGGGGGCACAACTGCTGCTCCCACCTCCTCTTTCACCCCATTCCTTTGACAGCTAGGGCATGTTTTATTGCTCTCAGCCACTGTCTAGGGACTGAAAATTACTGCCATGGCTGTAGCTTTAAAAAAAAAAACAACCTTTCCTCAGTATACAGTAGCTTTAACCCTGCGTGCTCCATCATGGCGGTTTATGTAATATTTTGTGTTTTAGTTTGTGTTTTTGAACAAAGTGTCAAGGAGATCTTTGTGAAATGTTGATTGGGGTCTGGGTTTTAGGCAGCTGCAAGTTTTATGACTGTGCTTTCACACAAAGCATCTTTGACACAGCAGTTGAACATTTGCATTGAAGGCGCACACTGTGGAGAATCTCCTTCAGCGAGATGCAAAACATTTCAGCCTCTATGACTTTTGATACTTATTTTAACATCAATTAGTCAAATATATGAGAGCAAAGTTAGCCACAAACCCATCTGGATATGTTAAACATCGTTAAAAACAAATATAATTTTCACTTTGAAGTAATAACGTTTTGAAAGGACTCGATTTTAGCTGAAGTGATAACACAGAAAACAACTGACATCACTTCACTGGGCTTCTTCGATTCTTTTTCAGGCTCCCAGCAGTCTCCACCTGTGGCAGCTCAGGACCTGACGTCTGTCATTAAAGCAGGATACCTCGAGAAACACAGAAAGGGTTTGTGCTCTTCTAACCACATACTCAACAAACATTTTTAACAGGGTGTGTGCACACTAAAGTTAAAAACATACTGATGTAATGTTTCAGCCTAGAAGGTCTGAACAAA